GCTCCCCCAACAACCTATCAAGATAGTCCAAAGAGAAAGAGGGAGTCTCATTCCACTGATACGCTACTGCTTGGTGACCACTGTCATGAAGCCATATTCTTCTTAACACATTCAACTGATGAAGCGACAGTCAAAGAGAAGATGAGGGCCACATTTCAGTACCGCCAAAAACTGGTTCAAGATCAGCACTGTTCTTTGGCAGTTTTGGATGTCTTCCCACGATACCTAGACCTGGCTTGGTAGGAAAATACAACTTCTTGCTTTAAATGAATTGTCACTTAAACTATACACTCTAATGTAGCATAAGTATAAAAATGTGTGTTATTCTGTAGATTGACCAAGACTTCACCATGATGTTTGGATTTTTGACAAAATGGCCTACTTTATTCAAACCTAGAATCCTGACAGACTGCAAAATACTGACCTCAAATCAGCACTTGGTCTCTTGTCTGTGCAGCACGACTCAGGTTGGTGTGGTTTGCTTTGTTCATTGTACATGTTCATGTATTTTTAAAAATGTCTCAATTGTTCATATACATTATATTATATATTTCTCCTGTTTTCCCCAGGGCTGGGACAGTGACCTGTCAAGCATTCTATTGTTGGTTCACCTGTTTCCCCCTACCTCCAAAGGACACAAGAAAAGTGCTAGAATCAGCTCATGTCAAGCTGCTGGCCATGTTGTGAGATATTTGCAGGTATGTAAATAGTAATGTATATATTCTGATGACATTGTCATATTTTCTGACTTTGTTGTGGCAAAGCCTGTTTTATGTGGTGTTTGTTTGAAATAAAAATCTGTTTTAAACTGCAATTGAGTGCTTTTCTTTGTAAATTTAAATGGGATGTACTGTTTTTGGAAATAGTACTGTTTTTAGGAGTAGTATCTTTCTAATTAAATCAACTATAAAATGTTTTTATATTAAATTATAATTAACACTCTCCATAGTGTCAATATAACTTGAACACTATTTGAATGTGTTGAAGAAATATCCTGACAGTATTAGTTTTTGACACCACACACTAGTGTTAGGTGAATTCAGCACTCATATGTGTTAAATTTCATCAACTCAGTGTTCTTTCAACTCTGTCATGTTTAACTCTTTCAAAAGTGTTGTTTTAACTCAATCTAGAGTGGACCAATATAGACACTTTGAAAGTGTTGAATTCAACTCTCTAGGAGTTGAATTAACACTTCTAAATTTACTGTGTACCATTCCTACTTTGATTACCTGTCCTGCACTCCTTTGCCCAGTGGCCTCGTTTACCACATTTCCTACAAACATTATTAGATCTATGTCTGTTTCCCTTTCTATCTTGGTTCTCTGTGTTTGACACTGTGCTTGTTTACACCTACATCTAGGCCTCTCACCATATAGTCATTGTCAAACATGTCATGGTCTGTGACAGATCTTATTCTGTGCTCCATGCTGTTTTCAACCAGTTTAGCTGCACCAATTAGCATATCAGAAGTATATGTTGCACCCTTCCATGTTGGAGATGTCAACTTTATGGCCTGTTGTTGGTGCCGAAAATTACGTTATTCAGTCACCACTGTTGTCATCTAACTGCCGCAGATAGAATGACCTGAAAAGAACCACACCTGACAACGTTGTACTTTTTACTCGCTGCGAGGGGGAGCAGAGAGACCAACAGCTTCGCAGAGTTGGCTCACCTAAGTCCCAAAGTGTGAGGACTGCAGCTCCTTTTATTGAGAAGTTTTCACAAGTACTGGGCAGTTGTTTTTCTTTGAGTTTTACTCCCAGGGCAAAGGTCATCTGATTCCCATACTTGATGAGAAACAGACCTCATCCTTTATGGACCTACATTGTAAAAAACGGAGTACCTACTCCGGTCAAGCAGACCATTATTTACCACACTTGGATAACAGTTTCTGGTTCACCACACTTTGGTTCAACAGCTCCTGTCCTAATAGTTTTATTTATTTATAAAGATTATAAATATTTTTAAATATTACTACATTTAGGTGTGGTGAATATACTGTATATGCGGGATATTGCAACTGTGAGAGATAGTTTATATTTTTAAATGTTAGAAAATATAATAGTGTGAAGTGTCCAGTTAGTCTTACTTCCACTTCCAGAACAATTTCAGATTTTTCTTTTTCTGCTGGTTTTTTGGGTTCATTTTGTTGTCACCCCTTCCAGTTGTATTTCTTCCTTAGTTTTCCCATTTTAAACAGAGCTCTACAACTGATTAACCTGTAGGTTAAACACCACGAAAAACGGAAATGTTGACACGTATTTAACCAGTGAAGCCGTGAGTCGGTTTCTTATTTACACGTCCAAATAAATATGTCCGAAAACTGAACCATTACAACCAATCAGCATACAACATTAGACAACATTTTAAAAGCTGGGTTGAAATGTTAAGCAGAAGCACCGATATCACGGGTAAACAACACGAGTCCTTCGCCTTAAGCTGTCCGACAGGACATCCATTTTCATCCGTTACCGGGTCACGGGGGCAGCATTCGCCACCCAAATCACATTGCACTGTACCAACCCCCCTAAACCTTCCTGCGGGTGGTGAGTCCACTGGAAGGTACCAACCGCCCTAACTGGGATTCAAACTTGCCCAGTGATTCAATTTGAAAATTGATTCAAATTCAAACAGTTTTTCTCAAGTTCTCAAACTTCTTCAGGTTAAAAAAAAAGTAGGAACAAAACACTTTCATAAGAAAAGAAAATGTATCCATATTATTTTTCACACTGTTGTCCTTAACAGATCCAAAATAAAATATGAAAAATGTAAATTGAGCAAATTTGTAAAATATTTTTACCACAGACATTTATCTGAAACTGTACAACTGTACCAATCACAAGAGAGCTAACTAGCTAACTAGCAAAATAACTAACTAACTAACTAACTAAGAAACAGAAGAGAACAAATATCTCTTCACATCAACTTGTTAACTGTACACAAATAAATATCACTGACATGAAGTCAGAGCTAATGTGTTAGCAAGAAATTCAACGTTAAAAGAGATAAAATGTGTTATTTAAAGGTACTCAGTAAAGGATTAGCAACATAGTGGCGAAGTTCAATGTTTTCCAAATATTTCAGGTATTTTACTAGAGTACAGCCTCTATTAAAATACCTCAAGTACCCTCTGTGTATACTCTAGACCAGGATTGTCAAACTCAAATTCACAGTGGGCCAAAATTAAAAATTGTGGCGAAGTCGCGGCTGAACTAAATATTTATTTTAAAAATGGACAAACTTTAGTTTTGCGTTAATTCATATTTTAAATATTATAAATAAATGAGAAATTAAATTTGAAATAAAACACAGATTAACCACAGATCGACTTTCACTGGCTCAGAGGCTGCTGTACTCATTCTCTTTCTGAGCCTCCTCAGCTGTGAAGCTCTCCTCTTCCTTGGACAGCTTCTCAAACTTCTTCAGAAACACAACGAGAGCCACCAGCAGAGCCGCCTGCACCATCAGGAACACAATCAAACACACCTGCGAGAACAAAGCCAGGTTGCAGTACCAGTAGTGACAGGAGTCCAGCACCTCCTCCTCGGTTAAATATGTTATGAGCCGCCCTTTCAGATGGGGAGGGGAGCTGCAGTTGACTCCCAGGTGTGAATTAAGGCTCGAAGGGTGACGCCGCAGGCAGACCT